TTGCTGAGCTTGAACAGGAAGTTGCAAAGCAAGAAAAAGCTTTTAGAATGTTAAGTATTCTTCATGCTATATACTGGTGTGTATAGAAGGAGATGAATAGGAGGATCTTTGAGGGAAAGTATGCCACAACAAGGGTCATATCCTACACTGAATTCTATTGACGATTAAGCATTTGATATCATGGTGACAGGTTGGAAGAGAAGTAACATATTTTTTAGGAAGAGAAGTTTTTAGTGACCCCCCCCCCCCCCCCACACACATTTATTAACACTCTGTTTGGGAGGAGGGGTAAATGGGAGGAGGGTGCAAATGTGAGGGGTAAATACAGTTTCCAACACATTTGCACCTGTTTGGTTAATTTGGAACAGTAGGGGGGTGCAAAACGGGAGTGCAAATTTACTGTTTCGGCTTACCCCCCAAATTGGGGTGCAAGGGAAGGAAGGAAGAGAGGGGGAGGGGGGAATTATGGAATTTTGTTTTTCTAATTGTGTTATATATAATTATATAATAATTAATATTATCAATTTCTTCTTTTTATAAATATCATTAATGTAAACATTATTCGGGGTTGACCATTTGACTCTGGAAACAAGTTTATCAATGTTCGTCAAGTCAAATCTAGATCTCTTGGTTGAATCGAATTTGCATTGAAAATTAGAGATACGAGGTGTTTGTGGAAAAGATAGAGAGAAATTGTTTGGTTAACTCAGTTTATTTGACTAAATAGTTAAAACTTACAAATTCGAACGTGTTTGACTAAGTTTGACCATTTAAGATTAAACTAGACACGAAAACCCTATATAGGATGACCAGTTACAAGTTGAGCTTCGAGTTTTGAGATCGCTCGATCAATGATTATACAATTGTCATAATTAATTATTATTTGAGCATTATTATATAATAACTATTTTTAGTAAAGTATATTTATTATTATATAGTAATATTTATTTTATTACTTTATGATAATATTTTAAAATTTTAAAATCTATTTTGTAATCTAAAATCTATTTTAAAATAATATAATTACTTACTTTTCACTCTATTTGCACCCCCCTACTTTTTCATCCAAACAACAATTTACCCCTCCACTTACACCCCCCAGCAATTTGCACCCCCCAGCAATTTACCCCTCAACTTGCACCCTCCTGCAATTTGCACCCCCCTTGTTGCCAAACAGAGCGTAAGTTAGTACTCTGTGTTGATATGGGTTGATGATTGCTTCTTTTCTAATGAAGATTGCTCAAAATTTTAGCAAGATAGTCTAGGTTTGTATTGATTTGATGTTTTCATATCTAAAAAGGTATTTCCTCAAGGGTATTTAGACTAATGTTCTGTAAATAATCATTATGATGATAAGTAATATGAATGTTTTTAAATATACTAAACACGACCACATCTCCCGCGATGTAGCCGTGGGATTTATTCTAGTGTGAATAATTTATAGCTTTCTTGGTCTTCCATTGCAATAGGTTTCTTGATCGGTCATGTATTTATATCATGGTAACTCCTTAATGTTAAGGATTGAATTGATCTTATTGTATGATCTACCTATAAGAACTTCATCTCTATGAGTTCACTTTCGTTCACGAAATTAAGAGAAAATCATCTATATGAACATTTACATTTCTTCCAACAATTCAAATCATTGGAAATGAACCGGTTTATAACAAACACAACTATAATCCTTTGCATTGTCCGGGCTTGACTTCATTGAAATAAGATACAAATTGTACTTTATATCTAACAACGACAATCCAACTATATTATAATAACGTTGTCCCGCCACCCGCCACGAAGTGCGGGTAACAAGGTTGTCAACGGGCTAAACCCACTTACTCGACCGGGCCAACGGGTTAAACCGGGTTGACAACCTTGGTGGGTAAAATAACTAGTATATAACTAATAAAATAAGAGTTAGTGAATTGGTGAATCTATCCTTGGTCATTCCAATACATCAATTCATGAACCAAAATGGACATGGATCTAATGAATTTGAATAAGGGGTCGTTTGGATAGGTTATTTAGATGAGTTATTTTGGCCTAAATAACCCATTATGAGTTATTTGGACCGAAATAACACATTTGGCTCCATAAAACTTAAACGGGTTATTTGGGGAGCGGGTTATTAACAAATAACGCAAAACGCGTTATTTGAAATAACAACCCACCCCCTGTTATTTCAAAATAATGCATTCTGCGTTAATTCTATTTCATCTTTGCCCAGTTTCTCTTTCTTCCAGCGTCTTCTTCCCTGTCCTCTTCCTTTCTCATTCCTTTTCCAACTTCTTCTCCCTGAAATTAGATCTTCAGCCTCCTCTTCTTCTCTTTCTTTTGAAATAGTAGATGGAGCTTCCAACGAAATCTCAAAAAAAAAAAAAAATCCAATTCAGTCTTCTTTTCTGACAAAATGATTTTGATTTTGTTAACCGAGGTTTAGCAGTTCGCCCGTGGAAAGAGACAACGAAGGGTCTTCGAAACACTACAAGAAAACTTGACTATTGCGACGAATTCATAGAGACAAAATGTTACATTTGTTTCCATAAGTAACTTATACATGACAGTTATTCAATTTGTTGCTACAAGTGTTATTATCTGTCTCAGAAACTATCAAATATATGACTGATTTTAAAATTGTCTCTATAAGGATTGTTGTATACATATAACTTATAAGCATAGGGATGGCAATGGGGCGGGTTTGCCTAAACCATCCCCATCCCCATCCCATCCCCATCTTCAAATACCCAAACCCATACTCGCCCCATACCCATGCGGGGGAATGTTTTGCAAACCCATCCCCATACCCGTGGGTTTCGGGTACCCATGGGTAATACCCATCCCCGTACATCCAACATTATTATACCTAAAACTTACAATAAAAGTTTTAATTATAACCATAAACAAACCTATTATATCATGAAGTCAACAAAATACGGTCATTTTCTAATACGATTCAAAGAATATGATCCTAAAACATCCATTAATACATAATATAAACTACAATATTTTTTAAATTATTATGCTCTAACTCTTGATACATTTACTAAGTAATAATTAACTAACATAATCTTGTTGACAAGGGGGAAAGTGAAAGAGTGGAAGGAGAATTGAGGGAAATGAATTAAGTTTTGATTAAGGTGGTTACTCAATTACATTTCTACTATTTATTTTCTCGAGTTATCATCATCATCATTGATAGATTACAATTTAATCCACATATTTTTTGATATGTGAAGAAATTCTCTTGGTGGGGCGGGTATGGGTATGGGTATGGGGCGGGGGAGGCTAAAACCATACCCGCCCCATACCCATCAAACTTTTTGCGGATTTTACCCATACCCGCCCCATACTCGGTCAAAGCGGGGATTCCCCGCATTGACTGGGTCGGGGGCGGTCGGGTACCCGCGGCCATGGGTTTGATTGCCATCCCTAATAAGCATGTTTGATGTTTCTCTAGATAGAATTTCAGTTTTAGAGACAGACTTATCATAATGTCATTTAATTTTTTTTTCGAATTTTGGCTGTAAAAACATTTCACTAACATGATTTCTATCTACTTTCGGGCTTGAGATGCAACCCTCAGAAGTGTGAGGTTTTCTTTGGAGGGCAAGCACACTTATATAAGGCGAATGCCATAGAGTTGTCCGGATTTGCAGAAGGACATTTGCCTGTGAGATACTTAGGGCTTCCGTTAATTGCTGGCCGCTTATCAACTAAGGAGTGTGAAGTGTTGGTGGACAAATTAACTAGTAGAATTCGTTCATGGAAAGCCAGCAAGCTTTCTTATGCGGGGAGACTCCAGCTGATCTCATCGGTGTTGTACTCTTTGGTGCAATACTGGATGAACATTTTCAATTTGCCTAAAAAGGTTTTAGACCTTATTCACAAGATTTGTTCAGACTTTTTATGGCATGGGGAAGGAACAGGGAGAGCGAAAGTGGCTTGGGATTTGATTGCTCTTCCTAAACGAGAAGGGGGTATGGGTTTGAAAGATCTAGGAAGTTGGAACATGGCATGTATGGCAAGGTTATTATGGCTTATCTTGCTGCAGAGCGGTAGCTTCTGGGTTGCTTGGCTGCAGCAGCACAGGCTGAAGGGGAGATCCATCTGGAATCTGCCTCAATCCCAGTCTGGTTCATGGATTTGGAGGAAGCTTCTCAAATCCAGAAGCTGGTTCCAGTTTAGATTAGACGCTGATGCAGAAGGCAGAGTGCTCTGGGAAGGAAGCCCGATGCCAAGATTCGTGGTGCAGAAGATTTGGGCCTCGATCAGGCCTAAAGGCGCTCGTGTGGAGTGGTGGAAACTGATATGGAATAAACACGTGATTCCAAGAAACAGGGTGGTAGCTTGGTTAATAATTTTGAACAGGATTACTACGCGGGACAAACTTAAGCAATGGGGCAAACTATCTGATTCTGTGTGTGTTTTGTGTCAGGCAAAGGAAGAAACTCGAAGCCACTTATTCTGCAGGTGTACTTATGCGTTGGCTTTCTATGCAGTGGTTTTTGACGTGCACAGGTGGCCGAATGACTGAGACAGCCTCTTGAGTTGGTTATGTCGTAGATGCAATAGAGAAGGCAGCAAAGGACTGATTTGGAGTGCGATCTGGTGCTGGTGTGTGAGTATTATTTGGAAGGAGCGGTGTGCTCGGATGTACAGGGATGAGCAGCGATCGGTGGAGGAGACAAAGAGGCGATGGATTGCTGATTTTAATCTTTTTGTGATGGGAAGATCGGATTTCCGGTTAGAAATTTTGAAGATTCCCCATTTGAGTAGCCTTCTATATGCAGTATAGGTAGTTTTTGAGAGGTTTCTGTTTATGGTTTGTAAACAGATTGTAGAGCATTTGGCTCTTTGTTTTTTGAGGGTCCTGTTTTGTCAGACTGAGCTGAATAAAAGTTTCGATAATTACCGGAAAAAAAAAACATTTCACTATCCCGCCGAAAATTCCCTCCTAAGTCCTAACACCAAAATTGAAAATTTTCCATATCTATCATTTGGCCGCCCTTTTCTTCTAAATTCTGATCTTCCTCTCGTCTTCTTCCTCTCTTCCTTCTTCATCTTTCAGAGAAACAAGTGAGACTGATGGGGAAAGTGATAAGAAAAGAGAACTACCGCCGCCGCATCAACATCTGCGCCATCCGCGGTCTGTCCCTGCTGGTTCCTCGTCCGGAAGCAGCGATGCTCGGGACTCCAATTCAAGATCCAGAAGATTCTTTTGTAGCCGATGAAGCTAGGGAATCTTTGTTTGATTTCTATGATATGCGATTCCAACTCAAGGCTCGTCCTTCTGGTTTTCAAGCTCGAGTTACGCAGGTGAGTAAAATTGTTGGGACATTCTTTGTTGTGTTGATGGGAAATGATTTCGTAACAATGGAGTTTGAGGGTACGGAAGGGGCGGAGCTCATCGACTAGGTTCTCGACGTCGTGATGAAGGAAACAGAGAATTGCGACTGCTTGCAAGGTAACTTCCTCTATTTATGAGGATAATTCCGCTATTTTGGGTGGGTTTTCCTTTTGCTTGAATTAGGGTTTGTTTAAGCATCACTCTGGTTGACATCATGGTCAATTGGGACAAAAACCTGTGTCAAAGTCTCGATTTATTATTCTCCCTGCTTGATAAATTGATGGTTGAACGCGTCTGGTGTTAACTTTTTCGAAATCGTGCTTAGGGAATTCTGGATCTAAAGCTTTTTGTAATTGTACTATCATCAATATCTGTGGTCCAAATAGAACTGTTATTGTTTGCTCAGTTTCGAGGAATTGCAGTAGAGATTGGCTATGGTCAATTCTCTTGATGTACTGGTCTTTCTAATTCCTAAACCCTGAGTGAACCCTGCACTTCTGCGTTCACCTGTCTAGTTATACCTCATTAAGGATTCATAGCACTTGGTTATCTTACTTCTTTTACCAGAGAGAGATACTTCATTATGCAGTTCATGTACCTAAATTAGTTTTCTCATTTTGTGATGTTTGGTTTGTTCATGTATATAACACTGGAAGCCACTGCAACTTAATAGTCCCATTAATGACATAACAAACAGGTATTGGCCATGGGCTTTGATTCGTGAGCTCTTTTATCCAGGTGCAATTTTTTTCTCATACAGCTGCCATTCTATTTGTCGTATACTTTCACTTCTCAGAATCTGATCCATTGCAACTTCAAAAACTATCGAAATGGTGATACCGTTGTGCCGCTCTTCTCCATTCCATGCAGTTCAATAGTAGAAAATCCTTGTTCAAACCTCCTTCTGTGCTCTTGTTCGCCGCATGTGACCAAAGTAAACAACAGAGCATCTCAGTTTTGGTGCCAAAACCTTACATTAGAGGTGATCAATCTTCTTCTTTTGAAAAGAAACAAGAAATGTTTCTATCAAGGGACTAGTAGACCAACATATCATTAGGCCTATTCTCTGCCAAACATTTCTTGGTGTAATTTCCTTGATTTCAAAAGTTCACGTCATGATTGGGTATCATTTACAGATCATCCTCTTATTTTCAATGCATCATTTGATTAATTACATGATGAATTCTGGACGTCTTCTATTATTAGGAAAGTTCCTCATAATAACACAATATATTTGGATTTATGTGTACAAGGACTGGATCTAGTGATGGTATTTCTAATACAAAGCCATTCACTGGGTGGCCATGGTTGATAGATGTTTGCCATTGTCTATTTTACAATCTGCTTGGTCCTGGATTAGTGGGTTTTTTAGTTTGGCCATAGCTACAAGTGATAATCTTATTAATGTGTCTACGAAATGTGCAGTGGCTCACAGCCGTGGAGTTCGGACTCTTGATGGGGTGTCATCCTCTTCTTGGAAATTTTGATGTCTCCGTCAACCAATCAACAAGTTTAAGGCTTAGAGAAAAGAGTAATGGTTGACGTTCATGGAAAGAATCAAGAACTCTTGGATCTTACTGTAACTGATACCAATGGCTATGCTGTAAGTCTATTCAATCAGCTGCCAGAAAGGTAGCTCTACCGGAGGAGTCAGCTATACCTGTGGGTGCTCAAAGAGGCGAAGTACTACAGACAACACAGGTAGTAATGAATATATTTGACACTGCAACGCCGGGTCCTCTTGTAATCCTCCATAATCACTCATCATTGACATCTTTGAGAAGCTAGCTAACTCATAAATCTTCAAAGTGATTCAAGGAGAACGAGTTGAGATCCAAACATTCAGGAGATGGGAGCTTCTAGGAGACCTCTCCAAGCATGTTAATTGTGAAGCTACAAAGGCGATAATTCAATTATATAGCTCTCGATTGAATTCATTTCTAGTTAGGGTTTTTCTTATAGGAGTAAGGGTTTAGGATTAGCCTATACATTGTTCTCTGTTGTTATTTGGATGTATAGACCTTTTAGTAGGCAATGTCTATGTATAAATATTAAGATGACTCATTTGGAATTATTATTATTATTATTATTATTATATTATTATTATTATTATTATTATTATCCTTGTATATCTTTTCAACAAACTTGAATTTATTTGTTAGAAAAATTATTATTATATCTCAATGAAATCTCATCACAAACAAATCTATCTGTTTTTATAACTAATAGGGCTAATACTATAGGTGTCAAAACATAGCCCGACCCGATCAACCCGACTCGCAACCCGACCGCAACCCGAATTAACTAAAAGTCAACAACCCGTAACCCGCCCAACCCGCAACCGGATTGACCCGCAACCCAACTAACCCGACTGACCCGCAACCCGATTAACCCGCAACCTGACTGACCCGGAACCCGATTGACCCGAACCTGACTAACCCGTAACCCGACCGACTCAACCCGAATTTCATCTAATCCACTTGAATAATTATAAAAATATACAATACATATTTTTTCAAAATAAAGTTTTTCATTATAAAACTTAAGTAAAATTATTTTTTCATTTCGTATGGGAAATTTAAAAAATATGAAACTCACTTGATATGACGTATTTTAAGAAAATTACAAAAATTGAAACATGAAGGTCACTTGAGATCATGACAATATTAATATAATATAATATAAAAATTAAAATTTTGGTTAATTTAACTATTCAATAAAATTATCAATTAAATATAAATAAAGTAAAGTAATGTATTTGGTAATTTGATGATTTTAAATGAAGAGGGAAATTTTGGTGTATTCAAGTTTTTGGGAAGAGAAAGAAGAGGGAAATTTGGTTTTTTGAATTTTTTGGAAAAGAAACAAGTGGGAATTTTGGTGGTTTTGATATGTGGGAAGAGAAAGAAGTGGGAAAGTTTGATTCTTTTGATTATGAAAGAGAAATAAGGAGGGAAACTTTTGAGTTTTTAACTTTTTGTAGAAGGAAAGAAGAGGGTAATTTGGTTCTTTCAATTTTATGAAAGAGAAAGAGGAGGGAAAATTGAGTTTTCTAATATCTGGAAGTAGAAAGAAGGAGGGAAATTTTAGTATTTTTGTGAAAAGAAAGAAGGAAACAAATTTGGTGTTTTCAATTTTTTGGTGTTTTCATAATTTTGGCTTTTGAAATATGAATCTTTAACTTTTATATGGAGGGCATGACTAGTTAATATATATATGTATGTATGTAATTGTTTATGGGCTAATAAATTAACCATTAGTTACAACAATTTATACTAAACTTGATAAGTAATCTTTGACGGTTCGTTGTTTAGGATATAAAGTATATGGTTAGGGTATAGGGTATCAGGTACATATGGTTTAGGGTGTATATGGTTAGGGTATAAGATATTGATGGTTTTGACGGTTCCAAGTTTTTTATTAACATATGTTTACTTGAAGTCATTTGAAGTCTTTAACGGCAGGAGATCCCTTTTTAATTTATGTTTATGGTACGTGGTTAGGATACAAGGTATATGGTGTAAAGTATAGGATATATGGTTAGGGTATAACAATTAGCAAATATCACTTTTTATCTATGTTTTGAAAATCAAAGGATGAATTTCACTTTTAAATTAACTATACTAGCAAAATCACAACTCAAAGACATATGGTTAGGGTATATGGTATAGGTTATGTGGTTAGTGTATAATATATTGATGGTTTAGGGTATACAATCAACAACATATACTAACTTAATATTGTTGATTGAGGGTAAGGCTAAGTGTATATGATATATGCTATTGAGTAAGTTATGATTGAAGTCACAATAATTTTACTAAATTTGATAGCTAATCTTTAATGATTCAATTTTTAGGATAATTCGAACAATTTTACAAATAACTCGTTTGGCAACAGTTTACTGAAGTTATTTGCGCAATGAGTTATTTCAAAATAACTTCTTTTATCACTATGCTTTTGCCAAATACCACACGCCAAATACCAGATTTGCATGGTTATACTAAACGAGATACTTTAATCCAATTACTACTGAACTAATACTAAAATATCAAATAAACAATTAATGGTGTCTTTTGGTTGCAAATATTGATATCACCATTACTATTAGCTATAATACTTTACCAATTATGATTAATTACATAACAAGTTTGCAAGTCATACAAATTGATTTAATATTTTGACTAGTTTTTTTTTTTAAAATAAAGAATATATATACGAGGTAGAAATAAATTGGTTAAAAAGTTGAGAAAATATTTTAAATTAGTGTAATAAAATGTGTAAGTTGGTAATGAGTAATGAGTTAAGTTACTTGATGCGCTGGCCAAACAACCCGAAACCCGATCCGCCCGCAACCCGCCCGACCCCAAACCCGATGAACCCGCAACCCGATTTGCCCGCAACCCGATTGAACCCGAACCCGATGAACCCGCAACCCGACTAACCCGCAACCCGTTTGAACCCGAACCCGATGAACCCGAACTCGATGAACCCGCAACCCGTTTAAACCCAGCCCGAACCCGCCCGAACCCGCCCGATTGACACCTATAGCTAATACCACTGGAAATACCAACCTTTAGCGAAAGTGCCATTTATATTACGTAATTTTCGATATGACAATTGTATACCAGCCGTTAAGTTTTCCGTTAGTTGTTAACAAAAAATACAGTCAGCAATGGCGTGGCAGCTGATGTGGAAAATTGTAATAAAAAATAAATGTAAAAAACAACCCAAAAAAATAAAAAACAAAAAACAAAATCAAAAGCAAAGAAGGAAAATGTCTTCTTCATCTTCCTATCTCTCTGGATCTCTCCCCTTCGCCAACCTCTTCTTCCAGGCTCTGTTTTCGGCTGCAGATTGGGGGAATGATTTTTTTTTTTGTTTATGAGATTTGTGTTAGGACAACCCTAAATCGATTAATCCTCCCACTGTCGAGAATAGACACCGCCTCCCCTTGTCCTCCAAATCCGACACGAACCCTAAATCCTTTCCGTTTCAGTTCTCCCAAATCCTGACCTAGCCACCTTCTTCCCAATCTTTAATCCGCCGGTGGTAGTTAATCGGAATCGCAGGCTATTTCTTCTTCCTCTTCCTCTTCCTCGTTCTCAAGCCACCCAATTGAGCCATCCCACCAGCCACGCCATTGTCATCGATCCACCATCGGCGAATGAGAAGCTCGACTCACCGAGAAGGCTGGTTTTGGGAGATTGAAGAGGAAGAAATTCAGAGGCAGGGAGAGGCGTCCTTCTTACAGCAGCGGTAAAAAGAAAGGGTGGGTCATTCTAATAGTCTAATCCTCACAGCGGCTCCCACCGCCTCTCCGTCCTCCACTCCCTTCACCTTGATTCTCGCCTTCCCTCAAGCGCAGATCCAGAACACCACAAAAGGGAATCTGTGGCGGTGATAAGCGTCATCGATGCTACTCTGTTTTGCGGGGCGTTGAAGAGGAGACAAGGAGCCGGAGACAGAGGAAGCTCCTATCTGTTTCAATTGGAGGTGACCCTCCTAATTCCTTGATTTTGGACGAGGAAGCTTCTGTTTCAAAAGCTATCGTGGGATATGAATTGAGATTGGGTAATGATTTTTTCTGTTTTGTTTATGGGATTGAGTGAGAGAGATAAGGTCGATCGACGACTGCAGATCGAGAGAGGCAGAGGCAGAGAGATGTGATTGACGCCGACGACGTCTCTGGCCACTCCCCTACCCGATTGAGCCATCTCGCTATCTTAGTCGTTGCCATCGATCCACCATCGCCAAAGGAGAAGCTCAACCCGCCGGAGAAAGCTGGGTATGAGATATTGAAGCAGAAGAAAGCTGGATTTTGGAGAAAGCTGGGTTTGGGAGGGTTGAATTAACCTTCCTTGGCACCCGACGACATCTTCTTCCCCAACATAATAAAGCTCGCTTCTTCTTCCTCGCCGGCGGCGGCAGCGGGCTCTCCCCTAGCTGGGTGTGGTCAAGGAAAGGGTGGGTGTGTCAAAGAAAAGTTAATTTTCTATTCAATTATTAATTATTAAATAATTAATTTAAATGTTAAATAATTAATTTTTTATTAATTTCCAACATGGCATCTATGTGTTGTCTACGTGAACAACACACAGGCGCCACTTCATCAATGGTCAGATAAAGGTTGACCACCGTTAGGTCAACAGTTAGATCTAACGGTCAACAGAATTTTGCGTAACACAGATGACACAAACCCCTAATACGTTGGAATATTTTTGTGTTTATTGAAAATACGTAATATAAATGACACTTTCGCTAAAGGATGGTATTTCCAGTGGTATTAGCCCTAACTAATACTAGGAACAAAAGTATTTGTCTCTAAAATAATGATTTGCCTCTATAAATAATATTAGAGACACTAGAATTTGTCTCTCTATATCATTATAGAGACAGATATTTGTGTTTCTAAAATAGGATATGAATACAAAAAAATTAGTCTCCAAAAGTAGACATTAGATACTAAAATATTAGTTGCAGTATCTCCAACCAACAATATATAACATTTGCCTCTACATTTGTCTCTATAGAGCTATAGCAACCGCATTACATGAGACAATTGTGTAATTTGCTCTAACCAGGTTGCATGGTCGGAGGTCTTCACTTCTTCTCTTTCCTCCTCCAACTTCTCGCATTTGCATCCCAAATTTGATTGCAATCTCATCCGATGTGCTTTTCTCCCCCTCGGCCTTTATGAAAAAGCTCAATGAGCTTAGGGTTTGTAGAAAAAGGAGAAGAGAAGAAGAAGGCGGTATGGGAAATGGAAAATCCGCAAGAGAGCAGATCTCCTTTGTACTCTGTATTTATACTAAGTGAAAGAGTAAAGTTACAGCAAACAGTGAAAATGGAAATGTTTGATAAACCGAAATTCAAAAGACAGTAAAAATAAATGCCACTTGTCTTCTGTTTGATTGGCCTCCTTCGCTCCACCTAACGGTCAACCAAAGACCTCCACGACGTCGCTTCAATCTTCCGCTTGAGTTAGATGGAGGGGAAGGCAGAAACGTGAAACGTTTCTGCCTGAGTTGTTGCAGTACATTTTTCTTCTTCCTTCCTCCTCTGCCATCAAG